TCAGGCTGGGTGAATTCATTTTGTCCTTTTTTTTTTTTTTTAAAGCCCACATGAACAGTATGGTATTAAAAGACCAGCCTGAATGTTATTAGGTTATTAGGAGAGACTGTTTTTTAAAAAAGGAGCAAAAAGGAAGACAGGAAAAAAAGAAAACGAGGGGGGAAAGATAGTGAATGTGGAGCCAAGAGTGGGCATAATGAAAATTAAACACTGACTGAGTATGAAAGAAAAGGAGCAGAGAAGGGAAGGAAGAGACATTTAATTTAAAAATACATCTTAATTACGATGTGTAGGGCACTTATTTGTGCCAGCATAGTTTTTGGGGAATGTGCTATCCCCTAACACATAGCCCAGGCCTCTCTTTTAGCTACAAAAACATCTTTAAAATTGAATCACCCTTGGAGAAAGAAGTGGATTAAAGTTACAGAGGGAAAAGGTTCATAAATCCATGCTAACTCAGTGAACCCTCAAATTAATTTGAGAGGTCTGCAAAACCTCAAACTCCTTGAGGTTCACTTATTCCTACTTTATTATATAAAATGAGTGACTATAAAGTCCCAGTATAATAAAATCTGGATTAAACTGTTGCAGCATTTAGCAGAGCCAAATAATGTTGCCAAGTTGTTCTTAATACTTTTTAAATGAAAACACATACAAAAAAATGTAGAACAAGGGTCAGGAATCATAAAAGAAATACTGCCAAGCCTCTATCGCGGGAGATCTGGATGGCAACCTATGCACTGTTCAAACAGATCATTACCAGTCCAGCGCAGTGGCACGCTGCTACCTGTACATGTTTTTACGTCACCTAAATCCGAGTATTACAAGTCTGAACTCTTTCATCTGTCAAATTTAAACTCAGCTCCTGCCATCTGATCTGCATGGGCAGACCCTCTACGCTTGCCCAGAGCCCTGCTGAAGTCAAGGGATCGCCTGCAGAGATCCAACTGCAGGACCAGGGCCTTAGGTTTTAATAATTGGGACAGGAACCAGGTGCTCAATCCTACAACTCTTACTCACATGCACAGTCCCTATTCATGCAAATAGCCCCCCAAAATACCTTCAGGAGCCCATGAGTCTCTTTGTAAATCAGTCCCGGAATACACTTCACTCTCCCCCTACTTCCCCCCGCCCTCATGACAAGCCAAATGGTGAATGGCTGGTTTCGTAATGCCCTGGATGTTGCCCACAGTACCTATTTATGGTGCTTGGTACCTCCTTTTCTGAGCCCCTTGCCTCCCTGGCCACCACCAGACACATCGGCAAGGTTTACAGACAAAACTGCATCCCATTGACATCAGTGAGATTTCTCAAGTGAGTAAGAGCTGTAGCATCGGTCCCTATATGTTATTCTATGTATACACTGAGCACACCACTTGTGCTCAACAATAACAGAGGAACACTGGCATTGCCAGACTGGATCAGATCCATGGTCCAGCTAGACCAGTATCCTGACAGCAACAATGGCCAGCATCAACTGCTTCAAATGAAGTTTCAAGACACCTCTCATTAGGCAGACTTGAGATAATGTTACCAGGGAAGTCTTCTGCTAACTCCTACTTGTTAGAGATTGGATTAAACTCTGAAACATTATTTTTTATATCCTTTCCAACTTTTTTTAAAAGTATTTACAGTTCCACCTCTGGATAGAAGGCAAGGGGGTGAACTGGGAAGGCACAAATAGAATCTTTTAAACTTTCATTTCCTAGTTGAAAACCTTGCAGAGTTTTGAAGGGAAATAGTGGTTTTCACCTCTGATACTATATTGGGCCATATTCTAGGTTTGGATATGAACATGGAGTTCCAGTTGACTTACATGTTTTTGTGGGGGTTTTTTTTTTGTTTGTTTTTTTACCAAAAAGCTTCTCAAATATATATATTTAAATCTCTTACAAAAGTACTGAAGTTTTTATGAAACACAAATCTTCCTTGGGTTTTCCTCTCCCGAATTCATAGATTTTTAAATGCCAGAATGGACCATTGTGATCAATTAGACTGATCTGAATGTGTGCAAGAGGAGGACAATTCCATTTCAACTCTACCTATCAATAAAAGTTACATATATATGACTTCTGGCAGCGTGGGTGGATTTTTCAGCAGTCCACAAGAGGGAGTGCTAAAGCTAAAGGCAGTTCTTTGCATACCTCTTCTCCACTGGGTTTCCCTAGGGTGACCAGACGTCCCGATTTTATCGGGACTGTCCCGATATTTACTTGTTTGTCCCGCGTCCCGACCGATGTTTGGTCGGGACACTGGACAAAGAAGCAATTTTTGCCCTCCACTCCGGCTCGCGCCCCCTCCCCGCCCCGACTCCACCCCCTCCTTCCCCGATTGGATAGCTCCCCTGGCCCCGCCTCTTCCCCACGCACACCGCTTGCCCGCTGATCAGCTGTATGGCGGCGGCGCAAGCGCTGGAGGGAGGCCGGACACCAGCGTGTGTGGCGCGGCCGCCATGAAGATTAAGAGAGTGGTGCGGTACAGCAGCTGCGCCTGGAGGCCAGCGGAGGAGGGATGTGTGGAGGGGGGATGGAAGGAGGGGGGTCGGGCAGTTGCTCCGAGTCTGCGCCTCTCTCTTGGCGCGGCGGCTGTGGGGGGTCTGGGGTGCGGGCGCTGTAACCCGAAACCTCCCGCCCGTGAGTGGAGCGGAGGCGGCGGGGGAAGAAGGAAGTGGCTCCGGTCCGCCGCGCCCCCCCCCCTGGTGTCCGGCCTCCCTCCCGCGCGTGCGCCGCCGCCCTACAGCTGATCAGCGGGCAAGCGGTGTGCGTGGGGAAGAGGCGGGGCCAGGGGAGCTATCCAATCGGGGAAGGAGGGGGTGGAGTCGGGGCGGGGAGGGAGGCGCGAGCCGGAGTGGAGGGCAAAAATTGCTTCTTTGTCCAGTGTCCCGACCAAACATCGGTCGGGACGCGGGACAAACAAGTAAATATCGGGACAGTCCCGATAAAATCGGGACGTCTGGTCACCCTAGGTTTCCCCTGCATCAGAAACCAAATGAAATACCACAAGACAAGCTATGCTTATGCCGGACCGACTGGAAATGGAAAGTCACAGAAATATCCCCAAAGAAAGCCAGATCTTGCAACATTTCCAGGCCAGTTCTGCAGACCCCAATTTTTCTTA